AGCCCACAGCAGGGCACACCGGGGAAAGGACATTAGAGCGCAGGCCCTTAGGAGCGCGGTGCCGCGGCGAAGGGACACGGCGGTTGCCGGTGACGCACACGGCCGGCGCCTGTTCCCCGGGAGGACCCAGACCCAGCACGGAGCTGCCCAGGGAAACGCTCGATCAAAAAGAAAGAGTGCCTGCAGTCAGATTGCTCAGAACGGGGAGGAAAAGATTAGGCATGAAAACTAGAAAAGATACGTTCTTGTTCTGTCTCTCATTAGATATTGAGGCCAGCTTTCTCTAAAAAGAAAAAGAAAGAAAAGGATCAGGCACCTTTGGGGAGGTCACGGATGCGAGGAGGGGCCTGCGGGGTGTCACGTGACGCGGCTGGCCGGGCCGCTTTGAGAAGCACGTGGGCAGCGCCGTGAGCAGCGCGGTCGGGGTAGACGGAGGAGCAGCTCCCTGTGCTGTGGGCTCAGCTTGCGAACCGCAACGCTCTTACAGAGCATTTCCCCGGGTTTCTTGTATTTGCACGTTTCCTGAGAGAGTAGCATTAGAGAACATAACTTGATCTGCCCTACAGGAATGCTGCCAAGGTACTTCTCCGGCGTACAGTTTCTTAGGTAAACCCCTTGTGTGGCACGTGTGTAAGCGCTTACACATTAATGCGGGCTGTTTGTGTACATCGTCCAAGCAGCCGGTATGTCACAACTGCGTAGCAAAAATATGTCCTCTGCACCCCGGCCAAAGTTTAGTTTCATTTGCATTGGCTGGATACTGTCATATGAGGTGGCAACATATTAAACTCAAAATATGCTGTTAGATTTTCCACCTTTCAATTATACTTAAAAAATTAGGATCTTGCAACTTGAAGGAATGTGTCGTGTAATATGCGAATATTGTGTCAAGTAAAATTCCAATAACTGGTTATGTACCTTTGATTCACAGAATACTTTTTAAACAGTGTGACACGAGTATTACATTTGGACCCATACATTTTTCTAAAGGACATCTTTAATTTTATAATCACTAGGAGAAAATAGGTTTAGCAGTTTATTCAGATATTGAGCGTGTATGATAAGCACAAAGTATACCAAACAAAACAGACTGAGCCCTTAAGAGGCTTAAATCCATCGAGTTCAAGTCTTTTAAGTGCGGTAAAGCAGAGTCCTGGAGGTGTGCACAGCACGCCCTGGCCGCACAACGAAGGGACATCTTTGCCTGATGGATGGAGATGGTCAAGCCCGCTTGGCAAGAGAGCCTTACTAGAAGTTAGCTGGAGTGCACGGAAGGTGGGTAATTCTCTAGAGTCTGGCAAAACTGAAGCTGAAGGTGTTTGTAATAGGGAATTTAAACTTCATCCTGGAATCAAATCACTGATTTTAGGTAGGGGAGTGACCGAGGAATTATGCTCATTGGAGAGCCTAAGAAAGGATGCATTATACATATTTAATGATGCATTTTCTTCACTATGCCTTTGTGTAATTGGAAACTTAAAAAATGTTACATTCCAATCCAGACTAGTAAAAGCCCCTGAAGATTTCCTTTACATATTATATTCAACAGATTCAGCTGAATATAAAAGGAACATAATAGAAGACTACTGACTCACATAGTAATTAGAATTGAGTATTCCAACTACTTCATCCATACTAAAGGGTTCCAGAATATGCCACTGTAGCATGAAAGTTTTAAATATTTGAGTTTCTGAAGTCCCTATCTGCCTAAAAGCAGAGCCTCCCAAAAGACTCTATCATAAATCTCTTTGGGGAGCAAGCAGGGGAGATTAACTCAGCACCAGACAGACATAAATAGACTCGGGCACAAAACTATCCTATCTACCATCATTTTCCTAAGAACCCCTGTATTTTTCCTAAAGTCATTTGCTTTTCCATGTCCTTTCTCCCCCCAAATACTAAGAAATTATTTGTAAGTGTCCTTTACCCCCCTTTTCCCTTATCAATTAGATATTTAAGCCCCAAATTTAACCACCCCTTTAAGTCACATTTTCATAAATTCCCTTATACTCAAATCTGTGTTTTTTTTTCCTGCTAATTTGTCTGTCAGTTTCATTAGCAGGCTCCCAAACAGATGTTAAAGGTTTTCCTCCCCAATTCAAAACAATGAAAACTCTTCACTTGTGAGAAAAATAACTATTTAAATGGTTCAGACAATGGCCTGGGTAGCTCTTTTTAATGCTTACGTCCAGGCCCCTGAAATTCTGATTTTAGTGGTCTGGGTAGGATCTGGCATGGTTATTTTCAAAAACTACTTAAGTGATTTAAACATGCAGCCAGGCCCTAGCCGGTTTGGATCAGTGGATAGTGCATCGGCCTGCCCGAGTTCTATTCCAGTCAGGGCACATGGCCAGTTTGCAGACTCGATCCCCAGTAGCCGGTGTGCAGGAGGCAGCTGATCAATGTTTCTCTTTCATCATTGATGTTTCTATTTCTTCCTCTCCCTTCCTCTCTAAAATCAATAAAAATACATTTAAAAACAAACATGCAGCCAGGATTGAGAACCTCTGGATTAGAGATTGTACTCTATGAAAACACAAATTTCTTTTCCAGTTTACCTCAGATTAACTGGCCAGCTTTTTACTCAATTCACCAAGTCCTAAATTCAAATTTTTTTTTTTTTCAAATTGGTTCTGCTACAACGTCAAGCAAAGTGAGTGAGCATCCTATTGTTAGGGGCAGAAACAGAATAGTGGAGACTAGCTGTAAGAAATGTTAATCATGCTGTTAACTGTGATTGTCCTGTTTTGATTAAAGAAAGCACATTCTAACCTGGCTGAAAGTTGTACACCCTGTAACCATTATACCTTGCCTACTTCCCATCCTGTGATTTCTACTTTCCCAAATAATCTTTGTCCTTCTACCCAATATAAGTAGCTGGCTTATGGGGAGGGGTAGAGCAGACTTTTGTACATGACCTGCTGCTCTCCCATACTGCCAGCATTATTGGAATAAACGCTCATATATGATTCAACCCTGTCTCTGCTTAATTGGCTCAAGTAGTGGAGGCAGCCTGGACCCATTGGTTATCCAGTTTCTCCATTTGACAGTGTTTTAAGCCACCTAATTAACAACTTTAGCAGTATTTATAAAAAATTTAAATTTTCATAATTATAGCTTCCTGAACTGTTGAGCAATCTGACAATGAGAAGAGATCTGAGAAAATAATTATTTTAATCATTTAAAGCAAGTTCAGTATCTGTTTCAAATTCTTTATTATACATCATGGTCACATGATTTGAGGCTGGATAAATACAATTGGTTTTCAAATTTTCTGTGAATATTTTCTAGATTACTTCATGCAAGTGACCATGAGAATATTTGGCATTTTTAAATTTTGAAACTCTGAACAGGCACTTACATGAAAGGGAAATATGACCATTTACATATATCCACAGTTAAAACAGATGCTCCAGCACATGGTACATGGAACCTTTTGCCAGAAAAGAAGCTGGTTACTGACCATTTTATCAAAGTGCCATCGTAGTAAAACAAGTTTAAAGAAATGTAATTTGGATTAATTAGCTTACTCATAAAGTAAGGTTAACTCACAAGACTTGCACTGAAGTATATAAAATATATTGGTACAAAAACCAATGAATCATATGTGGAGTAGTTTCACACAACAGGCTTCGTTGTTTTAGTTCCTACACCCCACATTTAGTGTGTCTGAGATCAGACCTTAGGCACATGACTGCAGCTTTTTTACAGACTTTGAACAAATTATTTGAATTCAGTATTAAAATTTAAACAGAGTGGGTAAAATTTAAAATTGAGTTTGAACGAGCCCAAGTTCCAATTTAACAAAAATGATATTGTCCCAGATCTGGATAACTATATGCTTATTAACAGGTCCACCTGAATCACCCCCATCCTCAAATTCTCCCCTTCAAAGGGACGAGAATATTAATGAAGTCAAGAAAATTATATTTGCATATATGTGGTAAAAAGATTCCTTAAATTAAAAAAA